GGCTTTCTACGCAGGAATCTCCTCATTTCCTGCTGGAGGCCTTGGTGGAATACATTGGTACGGACTGTCCGACATTAATCATAACTTGGGTCAGTTCGTGCCGCTATGGATGGCGGCACCGTCCACCATTTTCAGTGACAGAGATACGAGGGAGCACTCTCGACAACAACGCGAGCACGATTACGCAATCAGAGATCTGACATTGGCCTCAGACCTTCAAAAACGTTCGATTGATAGACTCGAACAAATTGTGCCAAAGGTTGTCCATATGAACCTTGACAAAGATGGGCGGCCCATCGTTGGACAAGGCTTCTGGTATGCCTTGCGAGACTTGATGAAAGCCGACAAGGAAGTTTTGACCCTGGGTACAGCGAAGGGTGGCTATCGTTTCATCTCCGACGAACACTGGCGGGCGATCAGAGATAAGCTCAAAAAGGACCCCGATTACCAAAAAGCGACCAACCCCCCTGATCCAGGCGTCTCAGCTTCCGACGTCGATAACATTTTCCAGAACAAGCTTTCCAAGTCTTGGGAGGGGTGGCTGCGGAGCAACAACGAGAAGGTGGCTAAGATTTTGGAGCCTGCCTTTGGCACGTCGATACCGGATAAGATCGAGAAAGACCTCGACCAGAAGATTGAGAAGTATGTGAAGGATCTCAACAAGGACAAGGGAATTACAGATATTGTGGTCACGCGGAAGGAGTTCATTGGACACCTGAACAACGAACTTACCACTCATCGCGCCGAGGTCAGGGCCGAAGCCGAGGAGTTAAAGAAGAACCTCGAGCAGTACATCGCCCAGTCAGTCGACCTTGCAATGAGCAAGGCCCCTCCTTCCGGCGTCTCCCGAACAGAGATGATACACATTGTCGACGACATGATCCGCCAGGCGATTGCAAATGCCGGACTGGAGGCCCTTGCGAAGGGCACTATCGGAGCAAACTGGAACCAGGAACTTAGCCGCCAGGTCAACTATCTCACAGTCGGTAGTGGTTCTATCGTCGACATCAAGCACACGTCGCCGAATTACAAGCCGGAGTTCGTCGGGCCGATAGGATCTCCCGCCTGGCTGAAGAGCACGAGACGAAGCCCCTGGGTCTTACAACCCGCCAAGACCCAAACGCGCTGGGACGATGATGGCGAATGCTGGTGCGGCCGGCCAACAGTAAGCAAAAATGGGAAGCATCTGGGCGTGTTTATCTCCTACTTGCTCAGTCATGAGATTGTTCCCCGGCACGTCGTCGTCGAGCACATTCTGCCGGGCGCCACCTTGAACCCCGATGCCCGGCCTCAGGACATTGAGATCTGGGCTTACATCTCAGAGATCAACATGCGCCAGCGCGTGGAGGACTTCTCGGCCAGTCATTTCCCAGAGCCAGACACGGCATCACGCAAGAAGTGGTTGTCGGATGGTTGGGTCAAGATCGGCCAGTTCACGTACGAGAGCAACGACACCATCAACGGAATCTACGTCCACCAGCTCAGCCCCGAGTTGGTGAAGCTGGGAGCTTCGACAGATCACATCACCATTCGTGCGGTGAACAACTATGGCGCCGATCACACCTGTATTTACAGGGCACGTCTGTTTGGCGAGAGATTGGTTTAAATCTCAGGCGTTGGAACCCATCAGGTTTGGAGGCACTTTTCAAAGCGATAGAAGAAGGACATTAGTGCGTTACGTTACTCTTATTTTTTGGCATTCTGGGACGACCGGATGGATGGAAGCTTTTTGGCGTTGGGGGTTGGTGATACCCCTGGACTCTACTTGGTCCTTTAGGCAGAGCATTTAATGATTGCGACACGCATCACTTCACGCAGGCCCATGTGACGCTGAAGTGAAATGCTCTAATATTTCTCCTGAAATTGACAATTACTTTTCCGTTCCGGGTATCTACGTCTAAAACGCACATTAATTCAACAAGCCCGCAGCCAAGGCCTCGAGATCCTCCAGCGTTTCCGGTTCGCGGTCGATCTCCAACACCTTTCCGCCCTTCTTCGCCCTCTTGGCCTTCTCCCTCTCCTCGTCCGAGTCGTCCTGGAACCACTTCTTGGTCTTCTTCTTCGGCCTCTCGTCCTCAGACTCCTCCCCGCCAATCGGCAACGATCGCAGCAGCGCCAACGGATCCTCGTCGTCGCCCCCGTCTCCACCACCGACCCGCGGCCCCTCCGCCGCGCCGCCTTCCCGCTCCTCCTTCTCCGCCAGCTTGCGCTTGAGGCGCTTCTCCCTCCTCTTCTCCTTCGCGAGCTCCTTGTCGTCCGCGTCCGCCTCCTTGACGCGAGCGGTCTCGCTCTCCACGAACTTCTGGCGCAGCTCCTCCGCGGGGCCCTCCTGCTTGAAGTCGTCCTCGTTCTGCAGCTCGTAGATCTGGTGCGCGTTGCCGTCCTCGTCGAAGACGAGCTTCGTGCCGCGGCCCTTGAACTTGAGCATCTTCTTCTTGGACGAGAGCGCCTTCTCGCGCCGCTTCGAGTCGACGATGAACTGCTGGTCGCCGTACGCGATGACCTTGGGCTTGGCGCCCGGTGCGTTGGCGGACTCGACGTCGAGGGCGTCGTCGTTGAGCACGCGCTTGACGGAGAGGAAGTCGTCCTCGTCGTTGTCGTCGATCGCGGGCCCGGAGACTTCGCCGTTGGCGACGAGCTTGGTGTAGTGGCCTGAGAGGACGTCCTGGTTGGTGCGCTCGAACATGCGGTCGTACTTTGTGCGGACCTCCTGCTTCTTGGGCTTCTTGGGCGCGTCCGAGTCGGAATTCTCTTCGTCAGAGGACATGCCGGCGCGCGGCGCGTTCTTGATCTTCTTGGCGTCCTCGCCCTTGCGCAGCTTGATCTGCGGCGCTCCGGGGAGTCCCAAGCTGGCGGCGTAGGCGTCGAGGTCGAGCTCGTCGAACTTGAAGACCTCCTTGTCCTTCTGGAGATGCACGGAGCGGACGTAGCTGATGAACGCCTTTTGGCCGAGGTACTTGAGATCCGGGTTCTGGAAGCACATGCTCTGCAGCTGGTTCGTGATGCTCTTCTTCTTGCTCTCCTTAACGGTGATCTTGTTGACGGGCACCTTCTTGGCCTCGAGGCGCTTGATCATGCCTGCTTCCTCGCTGGGGTCTAGGAAGAGTACGGCCTTGCCGTCACGCTCGTAGCGGGCCGTGCGGCCGACGCGGTGGATGTAAGTGTCGGCGTCCTCGGGGCAGTCGACCTGGACGACCCAGTCGACGGCGGGGAAGTCAACGCCGCGGGCGACGACGTCGGTGGCGAAGAGGCAGGAGTGGTTCGCTTCGGCGAAGCGTTTCGTGATCTCCATGCGCTGCAGCTGCTTCTGCTTGCCGAGGAGGTGGAGGAGGGGGATACCGGGCTGCAGGTGTCTGAAGGACTCGTAGGCGAAGCGGACCTGCTTGCCGGAGGAGAAGAAGACGATGATCTTGGAGCGGAGGTTGGCCTTGATGAAGCCGTAGAGGGTGTCGAGCTTCTCGGGGAGCGGGGTGACGATGTAGTGCTGCTGCAGGTTCTTCGGGGTCGTCTCCTCGTGGACGGAGACGTACTCGGGGTCCTTGAGGGAGAGGCGCGCGAGGTCGGAGATCTTCTTGCTCTGGGTGGCGCTGAAGAGGAGGGTCTGGCGGGTCTGGGGCAGGTGCTCGACGAGGGCGTCGACGGCGGACTGGAAGCCCATGTCCATGATGCGGTCGGCCTCGTCGAGGACGAGGATCTGGAGGTTGTCGACGTCGAAGCCGGCGGTCTGGTCGAGGTGCTGCAGCATGCGGCCGGGCGTGCAAACGAGGATGTTCATTTTGGACAGACGCTCGGCTTCCTCCTTGAGACTCTTGCCGCCGATGACCAGGCCGGCGGAGAAGGCATGATTACGGCCGACCTTGCGCAGGACGTCAAAGATTTGCGCGGCGAGCTCGCGGGTCGGGGAAATGATGAGGGCGCCGAGGCCGTCGAACTCGGTCCATCGCGCACGGTAGAGCTTCTCGAGGACAGGGATGATGAAGGCGAGGGTCTTGCCGGAGCCGGTCTTTGCGGCGCCGAGGATGTCGTGGCCCTTGAGGGCGAGGGGCACCGCGCGGGACTGGATGTCGGTGAGGGTTTGGAAGTGGGATTTCTCGAGGCCTGTGGCGGTCGCTTCGCAGAGTGGGAGTTCGGAGAAGGATGTGAATTCGCTCTTGGGGTCCTGTATGCCGGCGAGGTGTCAGTCTCTGGGTCGCGTGATTGAAGATCATGGAGTGCGTGCATCGAAAACTTACAAAGTCGGCGACGGCCTTCTCGAGCTGCTCGATGCTCTGCAATTGCTGCTTTCGCTTTTCCACCCTTGTGTCCCTCTTCAGGGTCTTGGATCGCTTCGCAGGTCCCTTGGCGGGTGCCTTCGCGGGGGTCGCCATCTTGTCGTGCGGTGGTCGAGTTCGCGGTGTTTTCGATGCAGAATTCCTTCGCCAAACTTCTCTGTAGGGCGGCTGGGAAATTTTTGGTACCGGGAAGCTGGGGTGGATGAAAAAAAGTTCGGTATTCGGCGTCAGCGGTCGCCGTGTGTGGGGCGCTTGGCACAGCGTGGCCAGCTGGGTCCAGCTGGTAGCGTCAGTTCGACCTCAATTCGTGTTACTAGGTAATCAGATGTCATGAGATGGGATTTTGTTGCTTTGGGAGTATGCCATTGCTTTGTAAGTAATAGGGCACTGTAATCTTGATACATAGATAGCAGCTGTTGCAGCAGACCTAAGAAATTGGTCAAATGGCCCACGAGTTATGAAAATATACATGGATCATTCCGTTGCTCCAACGCATATTAGCTCCCTCGTGCAAGAACGACTTATTAATAGCTAGAAGGTCCTTTGAAACAATGATATCCTTCTCATTCGATAGATTAAAGAGTCTGTATCTAAAGGATTGTCAATGGACATAGTCCCTCCGTAAGGCGATGTGGATTCAAATTATTATTCCCGCTGGAAAACAGAATCCAGTTTTCGAGAGATCCTCCTACAGATTTAGATTATCGCCAGTGTGTTATGACGCTTAGCTTACAATACACACTTCCAAGTGTTAGGATCTTTATAGTTACCAACGCCCTGATACACATTATTGTAAGGCCATCTGCAATGCTTGCGTTGGAAGTCGACACCGTTATCCTTGCTCCCGTTGATGTACCTGGTGCCCATAATAGTTTCAGGGGCGACCCCATTCTCAACCCATTGCACAACCGCCATCAGCACGTTTCCCTCCGGAGCCAGACTAGCGACGCTTGCCGACTGATGACCGATGAAGGTTGCGCCATTGCCACTGCCACAATGGGACATACCAGAAGCACGGAAATAGCGGTAAAATATATCAAGGGCAGCCGAATCCATGCCCATGCTTTGCGAGACGTGTTCATAGTATCTGGGGGAATTCTCACTCGAGAGAACACCATCGGCCGAACTGTGCCAGTGAAGAAGTTTCCCGCCGCGGCCCTGGAATGCTCCCAAATCACCTTCCCAGGTGTCAATGTTGAAATGGTTGAGGCCTGACGCAACAGTGTAGTTTTCTGGTCTGAAAGTCATGGGATCCCAGGTGGAGTCTTGAAAATAGCATAGCGCCACCAATCTGAGACTGGCGAGACCGCTCCAGTAAAGTAACTGTCGACAGCTCCAGTTAACTCGGATCCAAGCTGCATCTTCGGATAAACGAGGCTACCGGCTGCATCCAAAACCGGCGAGTAAATACTCTTCAGGGTTTCCAGTTGCGTGACCGTCAGACATCCGCTTGTCTGACCTTCTCCCTCAGCACATAGGAGACCATCAGGCTTGTAGTTGCAGAGATTGGGCGACTCCAGGATACCGTCTGCAACGCCATCAAGCGTATCGCACTGATCTAAGATATCCTGGTGGATGACCGGCCACATGTCCAGAGGAATGAACGTTGCAGACTCAGTTGTCCCAAGCAGGGGGTAAAACCGAGTAGCCCATGACGTAAGATTATTCTATGCAATAGCAGGCGCTCCAACTACGACACCATCGAATAGGTCCGGGAAAGACTGGACTGCCTTTAATCCTTGGCGCCCCCCTGTAGAGCATCCGAGATAATAGCTCTTGGTATAGGACTTGCTATAACATTCTTGGGCGACTTGCTTGCCAATGGAGACACCGTTCACGATAGAGCGGTAGGCAAAATCCCGAATGACGTCGAGGTTGTGAAGGAAAGGAGCTCCGGTATAACCCTGATGTTCGTTGTTTGTTGCGATGGTTGCGAATCCAAGAGACGCCCATTACTCCACGTCATAGTACTGAATACAGCCGCCGAGACCGCCGTTACCAGTTGCGAGGAAGCGACTGCTCCAGTCTTCAGGCAGCCACGCCTCAAACCAGAAACCAGAGCGGTTCGACGTAGGCACTTGTCCGACTACGCGGCATAGACTGACTGTCACGGCCTGGGTGAAAATGCCACACGTGGCGTCTACTTCGTTGAGCTGAAGTTCGGTTCCGACAGGGATGTAGGTTGACGCAAAAGAGACGCCGGAAATTGAAAAGGTGCTGGCATTGAAAGACTCACAATACTGCTGGAAGCCCGCCTGGCTGTTGGCAAGCGTTGCCATGGCGCCGATAGCTTGGGCTGCAAAACCCACAAAACTACGTCTGATCATTGCGGCAGATCACCAACCGCCGTGGTTCAAGAAGATGGATCCAGTTCGAGAAAGTATATGCTTGGTGACGGTGAAAGCTGACCAGGTGAGACGGGCAGAGAGGTCAAAACCTTTCAGATGATGTCCGCGATGGGACCAATACGAAAATCAAAACGTACAGTAAGTACCATTATATACATAAGAAACCTCAACCAAAGCACCAGACGAATTTACCAAGCTAATTCTCATTTCATTAGTGGGCCGACATCAGGCTGGTATGAGGGGAAAAGTTCGCGCCATCGCAAGTTTTCTTCCGTTGCTAAGCCTGGATCATCGCCCGCTGCCGGTGTATTCGGACTAGGTTGCCTAATGAGCTGATCGAACGGCGCGGAAACTGTTCTCAGTCTGCCGCGGATGCATTCGGCCGAAGGCGATGATAATTTGGGGTCCTTCAGATCGACAGTAGGGATAATCGTAGCGTCTAGACGATACTGACAAACATACTTTTCCATCTATACTTACAGGGCCTGAGCTTTCAGTTTGATTTCCTGTACAGGTCCACGGGTACCGGTGTCTTTGAACAAGACAAGCCGCAGTAGCATATGGGGCGACGTTTCTGAACCTGGAAGGTACCTCGGTGACAGAAGACAAAAGAGTGTAGTTGCGGAGCTGTCTGCCAAGTAACTTCGATTGCAAGTTCCCACTCCTATCCTATCACAAGGGCTGTAGGTTCAGCAAGTCCGGCCTTATGTCCGCTTGCTGACTTTCCTGAGTCGCGCCTCACTAAAGATGATTGCATCATGTTTGTGGCCACGCTTCAGCGCCGCACTCAAAGAACTGATGTAGTTTTCTTCGGAGAGATCAGTTTTTCTAGGATTCTGTCTCTTGAACCCGTGGTTCGGGACAAGCTTATCTTCGGTCTCACACTCGGCGCCCACACGGGCTACTTATTCCGTTATTCGGTATCGACATACGCCCAGCTGTGCACAACGATTGGCTAAATCCCTCTACTGAACCATTCTCTCAGAAGCTGGGAAAAATCTCGAGGGTTTCGGGTGATTTCAACAGAACGAAGCAAGTTACTGGCGCTGAAAATGAATTTCTATCCTTTTATGGACTTTAGCCCGAATACCAGAGTAGTAAATGGCTAGACCCAGCATCGAAGGACCATGGCCCCCCGAGAGGAGGATATGTCGTTGAGGACCCGAGGCTACTGTCAGCGATTTCATATAAGGGCCCTACGCAGCGGGTACTTTGATATTTCCTGTGGGCGGAATTTTGAGAAAGACCGCAGGAAGAACTGGTTCTTTAAAGAGAGAATTGGACAAGATGGCAAACATGTTCGGGAGTACGGCCAGCACAATCCCGGGAAAAGAGAACGGGAACATGGACAAGCCGGACAAGTTCATCGTACCGAATAGGTGATTGAACAGGCCCGGTGCTGCCAGGATGACGCGTAAATTCAGATGATGATCGCGGCAGAGAAACTTCGTCAGACAGTCAACGGGTCCAAAGCCGACCTGTAAGCTGTAAGCTGCGGCAACAAAGCCTGTGATGGCCGAAATATTTTCTCAATGCGAACCCAAGTATTCTGATATCCAACCATAGCAAACAGCACCCAATCCCAGAAATTTGCCACCAACGGTTCACAGTCAAACCGTTAGGGACTGAAGTCTCGATCGCGTCATCCCATGTGCGATGACCGATGCCGTAGATCGCGGGGTCCAACGGAGCCAAGGCGTCCTAGTTAACGGGATCTCGCATCTTGAGCAAGCTAGAGTCATGTCCGCGGAAGCATCAAAGAGACAGCGCCGTAGATAACGACTCGCAAGACGCTGATTACGCATCGGACCTCTTCCGATTGGCGTGCCTGGCGCCTGTCCTCGTCATTTCCGTTTTCCTGCTGTTGGGCCTAGCTCGGTCGAAGGCTCGCCTGGACCCTGATTACTGTTCGAGATGGGGGCCATTCAACAACGGACGCGTCCAATGGGATGAACTGGAATAAAAATGAAACGGGGTTCTTTGAATAATTTGATTTCTTTAAGCGGCTGCCAGGCGCTAACACAGCGCGAAAGCTCGGTTCCTGAGCGCTCCAGGAGGATAGCTCGCGCCGTGCAGGGGCGGCGCTAGGAAGGCAGCCCATTTGGCGCTTTTAGTGCCGAAGATCAACATTACAACTTGCCTCGTTGGACAGGCAGTTCTCAACGGACTTCAAAACTACTCTGGAGAGGTCTAGTAAGAGGGGACGATAGTATCGCGAGTCCATGGAATTTCTGTATTAAATCATGGATGAACCTGCCTTCCACGATTAGCAGTCGTACGCATCTTTTTCATACTGGTTTTCTATAACTTCATCCAAACCATTTAACTCTGTCTTCCTACATCAAAGTTTCTTTCAACTACTTCATATCGCATACCATGCAACTTTCTTATCTCTTGGTCGCGGGAACCCTCTCGCTGGCCTATGGCGTTCCTTTATGTCTTTTTGGTTCAATTGGTTTTGGTTGCCCATCAAATTCGGGGTCCATATTGAGGAACCTGCCGTCCAAGTTAAAACCCAATCATTTCACTTGGACACCAGCTGGACCTGGGGATGGTGAGAATTCCCGGACCCAACCTGCGAACCTTCACTAATTTGCCGACTTCTCAGTTCGTTCTCCTTGTCCAATGTTAAACACGCTAGCGAACCACGGATTCCTTCCACACAATGGTCGGGATATTACGTTAGACAAGATCAAGTCAGCTTTTTCCGACGGGATAAATATGGGCGATGATATTGCAATTGGAACATTTACTCCGGGACTGGCAACAAATCCGAACCCCAATGCAGACGTAAGTTGAACCCATGCGCCTATTTCTATACCAACACCAACTAGCACCTCACTTGGAAGTGAAGTCAAGTGCCGGATCAATAACGTGCGTTTGCAGTACATCGATTTGGACATGCTAAACAAACACAATGTCATCGAACACGACGGAAGCATGTCCCGCCGCGACGAGTACTTTGATCCAACGAACCCATTCGATGCGGGAACATTCAACCAATTTCTTTTCTACTTTGGCAACGCTCAAACCTTCGACGTTACGTCAATATCAAACGCCCGTGCCCGACACATCCAGCAGATGAGCTTGCTCAACCCGACGATGAACATTACTGAGGCGAGGGAGGGAACATCGGCCGGAGAATGCGCCTTCATGCTGGCTGTTTGGGGAAGCCCGGACAACCCAGTAGCAAAGAGGTCATACTTTGAGTATTTCTTCCGTAAGTTAGACAGACATGCAAGAAAACGAAAACTCTTGTATACTGACTGACTTTGTCCAGGGAACGAGAGATTTCCAGTGGTGCTGGGCTGGTCCCCGACCGACACTGCGCTCACGGTTCCGACACTTTTGCAAATCGCCCAGGACATAACTGACGCTAGTCCTGCCGGTGTTCCGCTGACATTCGCGCCGAAAGCGGCTTCTTGAAGACAGCAACTCTCGACTGTTGAATTTCGCCTCAATGTTTTTAGTGGAGTCGATTGTGGTGGGAAAAGCACATATCGTTTGGATTCTCCGCATATAATCGCACTACCAAGTCTGGGCTACAGACCCATCGTTGTTGTCATCCGAACATTTCCTGCTCTCTACTCTACTACCGTCTGACTGTGATCTCTGTTGTGCAGACAATGCACTTCGCATTGGCTTCTCTCAATATTGTCTCCTCGCTTGTTGATCGGTCAGACTTGGGCTTCCCGAACATAATACTCGCGGTTCGAGTTGGACCGCCGTTGACCGTCGACTGATGTTTGTCACCAGACCCTGCCAACGCCCTATCCTGAAGCTCAAACTCCGGGGAGTCTTGGCTTGTTTGTTCCATGTATCCACGACGCCGCATGGTAGAGTTGTACCTGTTTGTGGGGTAGCGGTTTTCGTATAGGTTCGCTTTGTATTTATCGGTCGACGAAATCTTCAGGGCGCGGCCCAATAGCGGTTTCAGAGAGGGTGCGCAAGCCGCAATGATGGCGAGACAGAACTGGACGCTGCACAAGTCCCAAAATTAGCCCATACGCGATACGCCGTCGTGACTTCAGAGATACTCACAAACCCCAGAACTGAACACTGTTCTTGCTGCATGAAAGTACGAGTTAGCTGAATTGCTTCCGAAGCCCTCGGACCACAGGCATGCGTAGAGAACATACAAAGTTCCGTCCTTTTCTCCACCATACGCAATCTGAAAGACTGCAGTTACAACACCGACTCCAACAGCGCTAGATTGTGAGCAGAGAATTCTCCAATCTGCGAGTGGCAGACTTACCAGTAACCCAGGCTCAGAATTCCAATCAAATAGATTCGAGTGCGTCGCTTCATCCGCAATGTCCAAATGACTGGGATGGGCAGGACAGCAAAGCAAACGTCTGTGAACATGCAAGATGCTGCGTTTTGATTGTTAGTAATTGGCAACCATGAAGACCGCACGGGTACTTGCAGGTGTAGAATAGACCAAAAGAGATAAAAAGCTTGATGTCATAGCATTCGGGCTCGAGACTCTTGTCCCAGTACCCGGCTAGGGGCTTGCAATAGAGGGCAATAGTAACCCAAGCGAAGATGCCGCATAGCACGACAAATACTATGGTTTGGATCAGTTATTTATCCAAATTTTGATGTCGAATGTTTTACCGATCAAGGCCAACAGTGAGCGTGAATACCATCGACTCCGGCTGAATCTCAAGAGGGATAATGCGATGGAAATTTTGAGCAAGCTGCGACCGGCAACACCAGATATGTTGGAAAGGTAGAAGCTCAGTTGCATGATCTCAGTCACGTCAGCATCGGACAGAGTGTCCTGGTGCTTTCCCATCCCGCGGATACCTTGCATGATCAGGAGAACCATACCGACGGTGGCGAGAATCTACGCCGTCAGCACGGAAAAACGTAGGTAAGCAATGAAAACGCCTTAGATACTCACAACAGAAGCAACCAAAACATAATCATCTCGGCCGATGGTCTTGGCCAAAAACGCCCGCGTGTAAAGTCGAAGGCTGGCAAATATTGCAGCAATGACGTACAGAGTGCCCGTCACTCCAAGAATCCATTCTGTATTGCTTTCGCGTGCTCTATCCGGATCAATCGAATGCTTGGGATCAGTCGACATGACAACAGACTATTTCGCGGGTCGAAGTGTCGATTTGAAGATGGACGCAGAGTTTGAGACGACTACCAAAAGAACTATTAAAAATTTGTGCCGATGGTCCCTGAGTAAAAGGGGGCTAAGCACCAACAGAAGAGACATCCTAGTTCGTACCTGCCCATGTAAATCGAACCACAAGCCAGCTTCTGCGACCTGGAATGGTCGGAAGCCCTCCCACCAGCCCGAGGCCAACATCATACGTGCCTTCCGAAAACAGCAGAGGCACGAATCCTAGGCCTCGATCTTCTCCACTGGCGCAAAAGGCCGGCTCTCTCCCTCCGGCAATGCCTCGAGCCTGCACTATGGCTTGCGTACCTCTGACATCTTCGGAGACTCCAAGGCTTTCGATTTCTAAGTTGCTGGTTGGCAAAATCACGCTTGCTCCTTGAAACCTCGAGAGTCCGGACCTGTTGGCGTCAACAAGACCTCAAAGGAAGGGTTCCGAGTGGCGAAGGAATACATCAGTGTGGGCATCTCATTTGCCATGATTGCAAGGTTGTTTGTGAGCCTGGTCTTTGGACCAACAGCCAAGAGCGAAGAACCAGGTTACCATTGCCCGCATCCGATCGCTCCGAAATCAAAGAGGTCGTTGCAGTTGAACCTCTGGATTGGAATTGGCACTGCTTCTCCCAGATAAATCACTTCTACAACGTATCTCAGAAATCCGAGTAAGGCAGACTTACGCCTCAAGTGACTATGACGTTGTCGCCTTGACCATCTATTTGGTTGAAAGAAGCATAGACTCACGTCCCGCAACCTAATCTGGCCCACATCCGACGATTTTGGATGGAGCTATGAACATACCCACCATTTAATCTATAAAAATGGGCTTATCTGATCATTCTTGCTACGTCGGTGCTATCTGTCAACCTCAACCTGTAATATCGAGCAAATACTTCGCCACAGCTCCAACAGACTTGGACTTCGGCGAAAGTCAAAAGAGGTCGCGCCGAAGTGTGGATGAAACCCCAGATCAGATTGAGTGTCATGGGGCGTAGCATCCTGGCCCCTGCATGGCTTTTACTTGAAATAGCAGGTCGTCCGACCGCCGGTTGGCCACCCGGACCCGCGCCGCATCTCCAACATGTCGGAGCGGATATGCGGCACAACGGCGACAACGAAACCAAAGACATTGGAAAACGGCAAAGATCGAGAGAAAACTAGGAGTTGTCTGCATCAATTGCCGTCTGACAATTGTCTGCGGGTCATCATAGACATCGGTGTATCTCTAGGTCGTTGCTAGTGCTTACCAACGATGTGACCCTGTTTGTGCCTTTCCCAGGTTCTGGATTTATCCATGCCATTTGACCATATCGCTTCTGCGAGACTGACTCCACGCGAGCCAACCAACATCTTGTCCAACATGCAGGCAAGGTCAGGGTTTAGAAATTTTCGTGGAATCCACGAGCCCGCCGACACCTGCAACCGGCTTGGTTGCCATTTTGGCACAAGTCAAATGAATCGTGAAAGTCGGGCGGACCCGTCGCGCCTGGGAAGGGCTGAGAATGACCGACGCAGATGAGATAAATATAAGCCGCAGCGTCCCAGCCAAAGACGAGCCGACTTCTATTCGTTAGCTCGCTAGCACATTCCCTTCACCTAACAAGTAAAGCCGTCGTCACGTTTGGTCTCGACTTTGACTGCCTCAAGATGCGTTTCGCCAACTTCCTTGCGTTCCTGGGTCTTTGCGCCAGCCCAGCCCTGGCCATTGAGGGCGACGAATTGTCAGACATTCAGGCCCAAGCCATCGAGGCTCTTCAAGCTGCTGAAAGTGACGGCACCCTCGGAAAGAGGGGTGGGTGCAATTTGTTCAACGCACGTGTCCGGAAAGACTGGTAAGTGACCTTGTGAGTCGGACGTGTTTGAATCCAGGCATCCCTAACGGCGCTATTCATCAGGAATGCCTTGTCTGACTCAGAAAGGAAAGCATACACGAGCGCCGTGAACTGCCTTCTGAGAAAGCCATCCAAGCTTCAAGCTTCTGGATTTGCACCCGGTGCGAGGAACCGTTATGACGACTTTGTTGGCGTTCATATCAATCAGACCTTGAGCATCCATGGAACTGTGAGTAGCTTGCCATCTAGACAAGGTCATGTGCATGAGCTAATCTGGCCACCCCAGGGTAACTTTCTCACATGGCACCGATACTTCACCTGGGCCTACGAAAACGCGTTGAGGGAAGAGTGCGGCTATGAAGGATACCAGCCTGTGAGTCGCCATTTATTGCAGAAGCAAAAAAGAGACGCCAGGATATTGACCGTATTTTACATGTAGTATTGGAACTGGCTGTCATACCGCGATGACCCCTCAAAGGCACCGATGTTCGACGGGAGCGAGACCAGCATGAGCGGCAATGGTGTCTTCAAGGCCCATAACGGTAGCACTTCTGGTGGTGGAGTTTACATTCCCTCGGGTGATGGTGGCGGCTGTGTTACCAAGGGACCATTCGCGAAGTAGGTCCATTCATCAAACGACGGAGAGAGAGACATAGTTGACAAGGCTTTAGCATGACAGTTCACCTCGGACCCGTTGGGCCCGGAATTGATGGCCTCGCTGTCAACCCCGGTGGCCCACTCGCTTACAACCCTCGATGCCTTTCCCGAGACATTAGCGCCTGGACATCTCAGCACTGGATGACCCCGGACAACGTTTTGAACCTTACCGTTGGCGCCGCTGCGGCAAACGTCCGAACATTCCAGGATGAGCTTCAGGGTCGCTTTGGAGATGGCTTTCTCGGAACGCACACCTCAGGACACGTATGTCAAGGTCTCTTGTTAACATCCCTTGATTTAAAACGCGGAACTAACTACCTTCCAGATGATTGTCAATGGCGAGGCATCTGACCTTTACTCATCCACTAATGACCCAACCTTCTTCCTTCACCACGCCATGGTGGATCGTGTGTACTGGCTTTGGCAGGCTCTGCATCTGACCGAAGCCTTCAACATCGCGGGTACCATCACAATCCTCAACAACCCCCCGAGCCGTGATGCCCGGCTCGATGATCTTGTAATCCAAGAACCCAACGCGCCCAACCGGCCCATCAGTGATCTGCTCAACACAATTGGAGGCAGCCCCTTTTGTTACATCTATCTTTAATATAGAAGGGACCTCATAGCGATGATTTCACCACCACCCCATTAATTGATAATACAATTATTCTGATCAAAGTAACTTCACTGCAACTGCCATGGAATGATGTGAAGGGTGTCTTCACTGCATCGCATAAAGTCTGTGCGGACTTACTTGCTTGTACAACCCTTGAAGCTAGATGAGTGCGGGTGGTGCGGTATGCTGTCGGCTTTTGAACATACGTAATCACGTAGTGCTAATATTTAAACAGGAAATCGATTCCTTTCTTGATCCTTCTCCGCCTGCCAAATTAAAGAGGCAGTGGAAGCTATGCGTTGATGGCCCTGATTCGTAATGGTACCCACTGTACTTATACGCGTGTAAGGCCATTTCGGCCTCTGCCTAGAAATTCATCAACCCGGTTCCGTGCACATGTTAGTCCCACCTGCTATCCCACGGAATTTGACGTGTTGTTGATAAAAGGGATGATTTTCCCTCAGCATGATCTTACTTAGGTCAATCGAGAAGGTATCTTACATTTACATCATGTTAGTTGGTCACATTCTTACGGCCTTCTTTCTGCTGGGCGCCGTCTCAGCAGACTCCTTTTGCAAAGCAACCCCATTCGATGCGACGTGGCCAAAGACAGAAGATTGGAACGCTCTCAACCAGACTCTTGCTGGCGCGCTGATCAAGACTCGACCAGCTGCATCATATCGCTACGAGGGTAACCCGTTCTAGTCAATTTTGGCTTGCGAAGAAGTTGATGACGGCTGGTCCTCAAGCAGCTTCCATGCACAACAGCCAGAGTCGATAGACTATCCGTTCTGGGCGAACAGCTCATGCGTTCCACCCAGTGACTATGGGTACAAAAATCAAGGATGCACACTCGGAGGCTTGCCTGAGTACATCGTCAATGCCACGAGTGCGGACCAGGTTGCAACTGCCATGAAATGGGCTAGCGACCGCAACATTCGGATCATTGCTAAGGGAACTGGCCATGATCTCAATGGAAGTTATGGATCCATCGAGTAGTGACCAGATAGATAGACAGAGGAGCTGACATGAACTTAGATCTAGCGGTGTCTACGCCTTATCGATATGGACCCATCAATTTCGACACATCGACTTCAATTCTCAGTGGCCCCTTCCTCTCAGCAACGATACGGAGAATGCGGTGATACTTGGCAGCGGCAACAACTGGGGGGCTGTTCTCCAGGCGGCTTCTCTTCTTGGCAGAACTCTCGTTAGTGGTCAAGTTAAGACAGTAGGCCTGGGTGGCTTCATCGGCGGGGGTGGCAGCCCTCTTTCGAGCCACTATGGTCTCGCAGCCGACCAAGTCCTCCAAGCCACCGTCGTAACATCTTCGGGCAACATTCTCGTCGCCAACGAAGCTCAGAACCAGGACTTGTTGTGGGCGATTCGAGGTGGTGGACCGGGGGTTTACGGAGTCGTTATCGAGTATGTCTTGCGCACTCATCCGATACCTCAAAACGTGGTCCAGTCTACATTCTCCCTGTCGCTGCCCCAAAACAGCACAGTAGACGCTCTCGCCGCATCTTGGGACGCATTCGCGACTCTCACAAGCTCCCTGCCCGACCTCATGGACTTAGGCATTGCAGGATTTGGGACTGCAACAACGGTGGTGGGCTCTCAGGTGTCTGCCGGTGAATTCAACAGGGGTATCGGGGCATCTTTCACCTTCTTCGGCTTCAACACTACCGCAAGCACTCTGGTTTCTATTTTGGAACCCGTGAAAGCACGCGCATTGGGAAATAAAACAAGCCAGGGCTTGTCCGTGACCATCTCAACCCCGACGGTATTCGATTCATACATGGCTTTCGTCGACAGCCTCAACAATCCATCAGAGCCCGTGGCACAGATCAGCTTGATCTCCAGTCGTCTCCTCGGCCGCAAAGAGCTGACAGAAATCTCTTCTGATACCCTGCGCTCTCATCTACAGAGTATTACCACCTCGCAGGTACAAGGAAGCGCTTCATCCCTCATCTTCGGGCTCCAAGGGGGCCCTGGAACGAATCGAGTCGAGGAAAAGATGCGTGGAGCTGTGACGCCAGCTTGGAGAGCAGCGTACATCCACCTCATCAGCACTGGAGCGTACGTCAACGTTACAGACTCCACACTCCAAGACGCTTTGGCGACCGCAGGTGCATGGACTGAAGAGAACAAATAGGCTGTCTGGCGTAAGTGGGCACCTGGATCTGGCTCATACTTCAACGAAGCCAATCCTTTCAACACCAACTTTAAGGAGGACTTTTTCGGCGGGAATTACGATCGTCTATCTGATATCAAGCAGAAGTACGACCCTCATGCTAGCATGTTCGTTCTTTCAGGCCCTGGAAGCCACATGTGGGACTACACTCTGGATACTGGCAAATTGTGTCGCATGTCGTAAATACACTGGGCATCTGCATAGGGGTTTTCACAGCCGCTGAGAGCTTAGAGCGGACGGACGGTTTTGGGAGTATGGGTCCACCCTGAGAGCACCTAGAATAGGTCATCGATGATCTGAATTGGTGTGTGCCTTAATGACCAAAATGATCCTGATTGCCCATATCTTCCAACTGAGCGATCCATCTTTTGATACGGACCTTTATTTGTGACCACCAAGTTGCCCCACGACTTCATGAAAGTATTGAAACGCAAGACACATAACATTCTTAAGCACGGCATGAGTTAATTTTCTATCAAAACTTGCAGAGGCCAGGTTAGAATATCTTGCCAGAATGACCCAATGCTGCTGGCAACCAGATGAACAACAGTGGATCCAGAACTACCAAATGCCCAGTACTGCCGATACCTGTGCAGCGTAGCAGCATAAAATGCTAGCACAACGAGAGCCTCTGGTTGATGTTGATGAAGAGCCTCGATATACCCATCTGTAACATACAAGGGCCATGCCATAACGGCGTGAACACCGACATCGTATCTTGTTGGCTCCTGTTTGGCCATATCCAAAACCCGTTGCACACCAGCCAGTGCACCTAGACAAGCCTCTGTAGCTGCTGAAGATGTTGTCATCCCTGTGAGAAACTCTCTCAACTGATCGGTTTCTGTGCCCGGTGATCGTGACTCTGTCTGCTTCGAGAGGGTTGCAATGTACAGCAAAGGCTTCAAGTCCGACTGCAGAATCTCTGACCAATATTGTCCTGTCACGGCTCGGACCCCTCGATGAAGACGGCAGTAGCTAACAAAACTCTTCACAAAGTCTGCCAGTGTTCCGTATTCTGTTTTTAGCGTCTCATGAAGGACATGAATGCCTAGAAGCGAGGCGAAAATAAACGTGGGCATGTAGGTACTGTCTGAAATATCGCCCTTGGCCTCAGAAAACAGTTCCAAAGACCGCGTTTGCAGCTCGGTGGCTTGGTGATTGAACAAGCGTGCCTCAGCACCACCTTGCGTAGATAGATGGAGCGCAGAAAGTGCAAGAAGTTCGTTCAGTAGGTAGGGAGCTGTGAATACATGCTCGATAGCGGTGTTGATCATAGGCCGTACATTGCCCTTCAGAGCCATGAACTCAGCCATGTGAGACTCGGCATGATGGAGAAAAACCATGTGCGCCACAGTAAATGTTGGTGAGTCGCAATGAAGGCTACTCGTCAACTGCTGAGGGACGATGGCGACATTTGCCGCCGCACTGCTCGGAGGAGAGGGACTTTTGACTGTTCCAGTCGGTAGTTTTTCTTCGTCTGCATCAGTCTTGAGGAACGAACAGACCCGATCGCTCATGACGCAGTTCCGGCATTCTGGGCGGGTCTCGTCGCATTTGATGTGCCGCCGCTTGCACCCGGCACAGCCATTTCTCGACTTTTTGTGGGACCGACGACCTCCGGGGTGATGATCATGCTGCTGCTTTGGCATCGGTAGTGGTGTTGCGCGGAATGAGATGAATCAAGAAGAGGTTAAGGAGGGAAAAGAGCCAATACGCGGGTCTGCAAAAAGTAAAAAGAAGGCTGCAAGTAGAAAGGTCTTGTTTGTGCCGGGGCGCGATTCATATTCGCAGTCTCTGCACTAAAGGTATCTGTTGATGGGGCTAGATGCGGGTTGGTGCTTGTTTCGTACATCGTGGCTGAGGCCTTGTGAGATCCAAATCTTGCCTTACACGCGTATTTATTATCAAGCTCCACTTTATTTCACAGGCTACATAGATTGCCGTGGAAGAAGAACGAATTATGGATTCAAATCGATCAGTTACCGGCGTCGTGACTCACGCCGTTTTAGTCTGCATAATCGGAGCATATTGAACAAAGAACTCCATGAATTTGAATGGAAGGCTCATGAGTTAGTGAATAACTCATCACATTGCACCGAGTCGCTTACGAACTGACGGTATCATTTGACGAGCCCGCAGCGATGCTAACCGGGCCGAACTTGTTACGACCGCTACAGTTGGTCACTGTAGGATTGTAACTATATAATGCAGAACAGGGGATAATGACAGCGGATTTGTCATTAGCGAAGCTTTTGCTTTGTGCCACAGTTGGTTGCCCTGACCCGCTCGTAACAGAACTGTTGTGTACCGATCGGCGTTTTCGACCAACTCCGGTTTCCGATGAGGGCGCCCCCACTTACCCGAAGGACCCGGTCTTATGCGCCGTTCTCCGTCGATAGGGTATCGATTCAGTCCCGGGAGGATTCAAATGCCCCGCCCGAGTTTCCAATCGATGTGAAACAGAGCAATGAAGATATCGACATCCAATGAAGATTCCGTTTTCGACCGTAACGATGGCTAGGCAAAACAAAAGAAGCTCCTAATCGAGGCCCTTTCCCAAAGTCCACGTCACAAGTGGCTACCTAGTTGTCATTGCTAGTTAGATAGGCATGCATGTAGACTGCGTGATACTTGAAAGTGCGTCTAGTCAAGCTTATGGTCTAGTCAAGCTTATGGTCTATCTTGCGCTTTTATATACTGCGAATGCGACCGATATACATGGCTTTATTTCACCGTTAAGGTATCGCCCGAAACGGCCCCAGAATACCTCTCGATTCGATGGCATTTAGCAGGAAAGACTCTGCCCGCCGGGAGTTTCGTATGCACGCCAATCGCCTTGGCATATATGGCAACGCGACGATTAACATTCGAAAGATCTAGCGATAGCTACGGCTAGGAGAGACACCCGCACGCCTATCCGGATACCCATCGGGATGCTCATTTCCACAAATGCCTCGACGACTTCGGACTAAGGCAGATAGCGGAGTAAGACAAGGGTCATTCCTCCAAGAGAACAGCGGATCTCTTTCTAAATTGCGGGCAACATTGTTCAGTAAGTCCAAAATCATATTGTAGGTACCATCTGATGGAAATATCCGGGGCGAAACGCCGAAAACCTCATGATGAACCACGTGAGAGCAGCTGGCGTGGCCAACAATCAATGGTGCAGGAGTTTGCTGTAATGAACTTGCAACATGCGGACACGAAAAATGTCCTCGGCACAATAAATGGGTTTCTGGTGATATTGAAGCGAGGCAAATGCTGTTGGGATTGACGCACCTGTGTTTCAGCAGTGTAGACACTCCTGGGATTCAACATTCTTTAAATCATTGTCATCAGCATTCTTATGGCTGAACGAGCACATCCCCAAGTGAATGGTGCACTATCTCAAGCTGGCTGCACAAAGCGGCAGGCTCGGATGACGGGATCGAGTGAGTGGGCCATGTCAATAAAGAGAAAGTAAACTATTGGGGCGCATCGGGCTTACATTTCCGAACTACCGACGGATCGCATCCTTAACCCAAATTCCACGTCGCAGGATGTCTCGGCGGCCACCTCACTCGCTATCCCTTCATTAACCTTAGATGACAGCCCAAAGCGAATGTAACCTCGGATAGGCACTTGACCAGGATCAAAAGGTTATTTTGAGGACTTAAGCTGAGCTGAGCTGAAAGCCATTTGCGTTCGTAGAAGCTTTGCGGCTTCCCGCCTTCAGCTTCTCGCGACAAACTTCCGCCGAGTATCAACACGTTCGTCCCAACTCAGAGCGGTTTGCAGGTCAGATCGGCATTTCCCCGCTAACTCTCAACGTTTCTCACCGCCATTGGCGGAGATGGCTGCTGTCTACCGGGACTTCTTAGTTTTACGACCATTTTGCCAAGCCACTAGGGCCAACTCCGCAAAGGCGCGGACATAAGTTGCCCAACAGGAAGAAATTCATCAAGACCTTGTCTCTTGGCAGGTTACAATCGTCCCAAAGAAGCCGCCCAGATCCGAGGTCAGCGGGGGTCCTCAAGAGCCCTTGCAATTCTAAACGTGCATTGTGGTCTCAAGTAGAGTTAAGCTTACTCCCGCAACCACCCAATGTCGCATTAAACATAGAGTAAACAACGCCTTGTGCCTCCTCCAAACCATCGCGACTGGCGGAAGAACATTCTAATAGCTTGGCAGGACACGTCGTATATGAAAGAAAAGCTCGGCCGACCGGAGCGTTATCAAGCTACGCCATTCTCGATATGGAAGCTGCAACTCAATCGGGGATATTCCCCAAAAAATAGATTGAGCTCACTGCTCAGAAATATTTGTATTAAATCACCTGTGTCTCCGCCGTTTGCTTGAGTCCGTGGATCACTGCCAGTTTCTCTTTGCTGCCCACTTATACCACTGTCTTCGACCCTCTGGCCCGTGCAAACCGCAGATCGTCATCATGAAGTTTTCCACAATCTTCGCGTCTCTGGCGCTCAGCGCCGTGCAGATCACGGCTGCTCCCGCACCCGAGCCGGCTCAGCTGGAGGCTCGCGCGCCCACTCTCTACCTCTGTGGCGACAGCACCATGGCCCGCAGCAGCGACTCCCAGATGGATGGTTGGGGACAGTATGTCTCCAAGTACCTGAACATCGCCGTTGTCAACAGAGCCATTGGCGGTCGTTCCTCCCGCTCATTCTGGAACGAGGGCCGCTTCCAAAACGTCGCGAACGAAGTCAAGTCCGGAGACATTGTCGTCATCGAGTTCGGCCACAACGATGTCGGCTCGCCCCGCTCCAACGACAACGGTCGCTCCGTTTGCCCTGGCGAGGGCACCGAGACTTGCGTCTCCGACACCACCGGCGAGACCGTGTACACCTTCGTTTTCTACGTCATCCAGGCTGCCAAGCTCTTGAGAGCCAAGGGTGTTACCGTGATCCTCAGCTCCCAAACCCCCAAGAACCAGTGGTCAACTGGCAGCTGGGTCGGCACTCCTTCTCGCTTCGTCGCTATGCAGCTCAAGGCGAAGAACACTCTGGCCGACTCCGGCGTCACCTTTGTCGACCACCACCAGGCCGTCAGTAACATGTACCGCAAGATGGGAGCTACTGCTGTCAATGCTCTTTACATCAAGGACAACACCCACACCAGCCCGGCTGGCGCCGACCTGAGCTCCCAGGCTTTTGTTCAGGCCATCTCCCAGAACATGAACGGCACCA